AATATAAGAAAATTTACCATGAACAAACTTCAATGCCCCATTTACTGGGAGTATTAAGTTATTATCTTACTCAGCTCTTTCTGTACCACACTGCAACATAAACACTGATTTTCTTTCTGGTCCACAACCAAGGAAGGTTTGGGGATTTTGTGTTTGGAAAGTAGCAACAAAAAGCATTTAATACCAAATTGGGTTCTATTCTTTACTGACATCTTCTTGTGTCATACTCTGACGCTCAATTTTTTAAGTGAGGTTTATTAGAATGTTTACATCAACATTGTATATGCAGATTGCTGGGACTGGGCTCCTTTCTAAAAGCTTATCAGCATTGCTGCCAGCTTGTATTTTTAACACAAAAGAACAGTAAAAGTACCACACTGTCGTGTAGTAGAGGTGCGATAGAGCCCACTGTGTGGAACTTTACCAAAATGACAATCTATCCATGTTCTATACATTGTACAATTAAAACATATGCTACAGCAGCAATATGTGCACTTTGTATTACGTACTAATGTACGAGGGCTGGAATCATTTGTAGTCACAGCAATTAATGAAAACAGTGCATATTAAAGATCCTCAGCATGCTTTTTTAAAGGGGCGAATCACAACTACGTGGTTTAAGATTTGGTTGGTTAAGATTGAAAGTAACTCATTCACTTTATTTAGATATGTTAAACATTACAAAAATTCTGAAAAGTTGGCTGCACAGCACAGTAAGTGTGTCATGTAGGGTGGCATGGTGGAGCAGGGGTTAGCACTGGTGCCTTGCAGCACTGGGGCCCGGGATCTGCATGGAGTTTGTGTGTTCTTGCCCCGTTCATGTGGATTTTCTCCCACAGTCTGGTAGGTTAATTAGCGTCAGGGAAAAACGGATTTGGTGTTAGTGTCCGTGTGTGCCCTGCGATGGACTGGCATCCCATCCAGGGTGTATCCTGCCCTGTGCCCATTGCTTGCCAGGATAGACCCCGGCTCCTCTGCAACCCTTTATTGGATAAATCGATTAGAAAACGGATGGATGGATGGACTTAGGGGAATTGATATTCACAAGGAATAGCAAGATAAGCTTGAGATACATTAGGTTACCAACATACAGTTTAGACATCGTTATATACAGTACATCTGAGGGTCCGATAAGAAAAATTAGGGTAGTAAATACTGCGTAAATGAAAATTTTGGTCATATGCAGTATGCCTTTCCTTATGAATGGAAAACAATATAATTAAAAATTGATTGCAGCATTCATAATGCAGCTTTAAAAGACAGACTTGGTTAGAAGCCAAATGAATTTGGCCACAGCACTTAAATAATATAGTGTAATACAATGCCTTTGACGTGTAGTTTCAAAGCGTTCATGAAGCAGAGGTAATGTGGACGAAATGTAGGTGAGACCTACAGGTATTATGAGATCTAGTACATTTTTTCAGGTTGTGCCCAATGCACCTATTCCTAATTATTGCAATTAAGAGGTAATTATGGCATACAGTACATACTGTCTGTGGATTCAAGCAAATTATAACTAAGTGAAAGGTTTTGTTTCATTTCTCATTTTCAAATAATTGTTAAAAAAAAGCTAAAAAACATTTTACAATGCATTCAAGGAAGGGTATGCTCCTTTCTTAATTTAATTTGTTCTTTATCTGGACTTTACCTACAGGAGCGCTAAAACATCTATGAAAGAACTCGATGCTTTTTGCTCTTTTCTCAGAATTGTTTTTTTTTTTATAAATCTGTTGGTTGATCCATCAATTCAACAGAACGAAAATTAAGGGGTCAGTGAACTTTTCAATGGAGTGAATATCTATACAGTAGATTACATTCTGAGCCGAGTCTGTTCTTAACACAGAAGGTGGCCTGAAAGAACAAACAGAGCAAGACAGCACTGCTGCCTGCTTCAGAGGTGATGGCAGGACTGCTGACGCACACAGTGAATTTAAGAACTGAACTCTGCTCAATTTTAAATGTCCAACGTTTGCTAAACCAGAGGTGAGATATTGATGCTCTCTACCAAACATATATGAAACAGAGTTCATTTGAAGAACTGCTTTGTTAATTTTTCGCATTTTAAAAAGAATGATTTTGTTGTGGAGACAGTAAGACTATGCAGTCCTTTAATCTTTAATGTCCAAAATCACAACCTTGCACACAATATTAAACATATTAGAGCACGTCTGAATTGCTTGACTTGGATATTGATTTATCTGACACAATTCTGTGGGGATAACAGAAATAAACAGCACTCTGCAATCTTTAAAGCCTTAAAATGAAACATCAATGTTATTATATCCATTTGGCAACACAACAATATTGGAAAAGGAATTTGGCATATACAGTAGTGAGGAACTAATCAACAAGAGGCTTTAGGTCTGCTTTACAGTGGAACATTGTTGCAATCGGTGTGTGAATTCATGGAACTCCGAAGGGTCAATTAGGCAATGAGTTTATAATTATCACGCCCGATATCCCTCCCTAGAGGGCGCTCCACTGCTCCCATTATTGTCCGTGTGATTAAGCTCCCCAGGTCTACCCTTTTAGCGTTATTATTTAAAGACCAGCTCCTCCAGTCCTCGGGGCTCATCACTAGGGTAAGATGCCGCGAGGCCCACCTACTGTAGCACCAGGAAACCCTACGTCTGTCTCCTGAGGGCACAGGCCTCATCCCCGACACCTCCCGCTTCCTGAGCCCGGGGTCTGGAGGATCTCGCCCCGTCACCCTTGGACCTCCATGTTTTGTTTGTCCGTGTGCTCCCCCCTCCCGGGGATTTTAACTTTGTCGCGTCCCAGGATGGATTTCTTGTTGATGGACTCTCGGACTGTGCTTTGACCTGCCCTTGGGCCCGTTTGGATTTTGATGCCGTTTTGTCTTCCCCGTACACTGTCTCACGGACTGTCACTATTATTTTGTGCACTATTAAACCCCTGTGTGTTCCCTTTTACCACGCCTCCTGTTTTCTCTTACTGCATCGCATAGGGTCTTCTACAAGATCTGACACGGATTTCAGTCCATGCTCGTGACAATAATGCTAGCTGGTCAATTAATCAATGAAGGGGTTGCCTTAAATGCAAGACTGTAATGCATAAGAAGCGGACGCTGCCTTCCATTTTTCTGATTTGCTCATATCCTGTTATGACCTAGCACTGTAATAATGTCTTAGCTGCTTAAAATGTTAACTAACATTAACATTTAGATACTGTCTAAAACAAAAATGGAATTGGAAATCCTTTAATACCCACCATCCAAACAGGAATTGTTTGTTTTCTGTACAGACTTGGCTCTGGCAATAACGTGCTCTGCCAATGTGTCCACCTGCAGAGCTATTTTACATTTGATTCAATGCGAAACCCACTACGCCCTACAGGGGAGTCAGCACCTGGCAGGTTGCAGGAGTTGCTCCTTGCCGAAAAGCGAGCCAACTCCTCCCAGCACCACCTAAACAGTTCTCAATCGATAGTGCGCTGCCTCTTGGGTAATCACAACTACTGACATGACCCAGGGTGAGACGTGAGAAGCTGCTAAAATAATAACACTTTTAATATACTTGTTCCTATAAATTGTTGGTAGCTTTGAGCTTTCATCATGTGGTGCGTCACATTATGAAAGACACTGATGAGTTCGGGCTCTGTTTTCAGAATCATGCACAGTTCAAAGCATTTTTCCAGGAAACAAGCTCACCATCAGGATGTAACAATCAAGATCTTTTCATATCATATAATAAAAATAATACCCGATTAAGCTAATTATGTTATTGTGTAAACAATAAAAGATTATGAAACATGTTTAAAAACTTGGTCCTGCCAAATGTTTGTTTGTTCTATACTCACTCAGACTACAATTTCCAGTTCCTTTAAGATTTAGGTATCTGGCAATGATTCCTGTAACTACTCAGGAGGAATAATATACAGTATGTAGGTATATTCCTACAATAAACCCACCTGCAGAGGTTTTTGTCGTTCATCATATTGTAAAGGTTCTACAGTGGCTGAAAAGGGATTTAGTAGCAATCGGAGGAGCACAGCAAACTGTGCATCACTGCCTGGGTAGTCTTGGTCAGTGTTGTCTTGTGACAGCGATGGGGGCTCAGGGACATCAAGACGTGGGCTGTGGCTCACCTTGCCCCCCCACTAGCCTGAGTGTGTTTCTTAGCTGCATCACTCTGAAGTCCCCCAAAATACGTTTTAGATGTTTAAAAGGGAGTGCTTTATAACAGGCACTTATATTATGGCAAAAGAATCAGTGGGACATTGTGGTGGTTTTCTGAAGTAAACAAGGAAAAGAGGAATATACGCCAGTTTAAAGATTAGTTGTCTTTTTTTAAGGGGTAAATGTTTTCCTGGTTTCCTTATTTTGCACAACCGCAATGTTTTGTAACTGTGCGATTCCCTGAGTGCTTCACTTTTGACCTTAAACGTAAATTACTACTAATGCTTTTTTCAGTAGATGAAACCATCCAGCGCAAAACTGCAATTAAATCACACTTACTGGCTTGAAGCCTAACAGGTAGTATATTACCACATTCTGTACGCTAGGGTAAATACACAATAGCTTAATCACTGGCTTTTTTATACCATTATGTGATGTCCCTCTGTTTTCAAACAATGTTTGATGCTCAACACCTTTGCTCGTTCCTTTATAATAGGGGTTTAATGAATGCTAGGGGCATGCTATCATTTGAAGGGAAAGTTAACTGCTCTGCTAATGACAACTGCTGATCAAAACGAGCCAAAGAGCAGCAGCATCGCAATTTTTCCTTTGCTAATTTTACCCACGAGTAACATGCTGCGAGATGTGTTATCTCGGTGTGAATGAGGGAGGAGAGCAGAGGCGGCAGGCTGGTGGCGGGGGTGTTGTCCTGCAACGTTACAGGCACATTATAGCCAGAACCCCTTTGTTTATGGACCGTGCTTTGCTCCTCCCACCCCTCCTCCCCCTCGCGATGAACCTGCGGGAACACACCTCATGCAACTTTAAAGAGCGCGTGCTGAATGCCACAGATCTGGCTTACCTGCAGCGAAGAGCATGACGGCGACTGGCCGGTAGAAGCGTCTCCGGGAGCCCATGCAGACGGATATCAAACCCACCAGGAAGGCAATGAGGATGATGGCAGAGCCCCCCAGGAGCAAGGCCAAGGTCGCAATTTGCCAATCTGCACGACACAGCAGAGAGAAAGCGAAAGAGGCGTTACACTTTCACAGGCTGGAAGTGTCAAAACACACAGTGAGGAACACCCAGGGTCCTTGGACAAAATGACTTCGTGAATAAAAGACAGAGATCATAACAAAGGCATACTGTATATGCCTGCCTAGGATTAAACTGAAGTTCACATGAGAAGAAAAACATTCAAATTTCAAAGGCACGCAGTCTGTCCATTGTGAATATTGGAGAATGGATCAGGTGACTTAAGACTCAAGTGACATATTTAATGGACTGGCCATATCACACTTGCAACCACAGTCCAAATATATAGCCCGTGTTAAAACTATATCACTGGAGCTCATTTTATTCTGGTGTGGTATTGTTTGAGTGAAGACTGAGCATTTGACCATAAAAGGAGAGAAAGCAGACAGCTAAATTTTAATCTGTTGATGAAATACTGTCTGAACTAGCTGAAAATAGAAGCTCATATCCTCTTGATCTGAAGCCAGAATCAACTCATTTCCCTTGTCAGTAATACTTCAGGGGTTGCAAATGATACTTTATAAACGTGTTACAAACCAGCTATTGACACTCAAATGTGTATTAAAACAGTTCTATGTTGAGAATCTCCTTATTATTGTTAAAACATACAAAGTGAATCATTAGTAGTCAGTTAATACTAAGTCACTGAAAATATGTACTCTTTGCAAATGTCAACATTTAAAGTCATGTATAAGTAGAATTTGCAGCCCCTAATTTAAAGTGCTACCTGTTTATTATTATTTTTGATATCTTAAATAGAACTCCATTAGGTCCTGATTAAATTTTCACCCATATCCATTTTCCAGTTACAAGAGGTGATGGGCATTCTTCACTGCAAAGCAGTCACATGCCACACCTAGAATGAACTTCCTCATGCCACTGCCCCAGTCACACACGTCCAGAATGTGAAGATGAACGAGGGCATGTCTTCCTGCACATATTCTTGGCAGTCGGCACAATAAGGCCTTCCTTCCCTTTCCCACTCGACACTTGACAGAAGGTTCACATGGCTTTTGGCCACAATTTCCTCTCTAGCGGTATTGAAATGGGAAAAGACAGTTAATTCATCCATCCATCCTCAGAAAACCTTCTAATCCCAGTGAGAGTCAAGTAGCACCACAGCCTATCCTGGAAGAACTGGAAGTGCAGGAGCCCTCTCAAAAAACACATCAGTCCATCACAGGGCTGCAGAAAGAAGGTTCATTTTTGAACAGTGAAGAATAGCTAAACCTACCAAGGCACAGAGTAAATGCAAACTCCTCACAGATGACACCAGAATCAATACCGGGACACCGGAGCAGGAAATCTGCAGCACTTAGTGACATCCACTGCTAGTACGGAGTTTTCTTTTACTACTTTAAAAGTAGCATTTATTCCAATTACCAGACAAGATGTGAGATTCACCTTTCTAATTTAAATCATATTTAGCTTCCAAGCATTCTGTACCTTCCAATAAAATTAAACTGAAATAAAAATTTATTTAGAATAAAATTAAATAAAATAAAAATTTATTTAGAACAGTGTAGTATATAATCTCTAAAGTAATAAATACAAAAGAAACTGTATTTTATTGAAGTTTTATTTTCTCTTCCCGAAACGTGATGTAAGATTACGTTTAGGGTTAAACACAATGGATTATTCATCATTCAAATTACAGTAGGTCAAACATTTTGTGCTACATTCACCATGGATATGGATGTCTGCTAAGAAAATAGATCTTAAAAAATAAAAATGAACTTCATATTATTAAAAAGGACATTTTGTTAAGCAACCTACAATATATAATATCCCTAAGAAATGCATACCTTCTCTTACAGTACATGGTTTGTAAAGAAATGACTGCTATCACATCACATAAGAAGGCCTTGCATAAAAAATAAATCAGTGAGTTAAAAAAAAGAAAAAAATATAAATTTTCAATAAAAGGAGCTATAAATAATCCTCAAAAAGTGTAATATGATACCATTAACCAGTTAGCATTTAACTAATGAAGTAGTTTATTTTTTAGGTTGTGTAAACATGACCAAATCATGGTTTGCATAAAACAGCATGCAATAAAGGCCAATGCAAAACACAATGTTAGCAATCAACATATTTTTGGATAACAAAATACTGAGCTATTTAATGAGCAGCCTATGCCAAAAAAACAACAAAACTGAAAACCACATTGCGAGTGCAAGAATCTGACAGAGACAGCCTGCAAAACAAATTTCAAAAGAACAGAGGCTTTGCATTTTTTTTTTAAAGAAACAACACAGTTTGGAGTATATTGCTCTCTAACCAGCATCACAAGCTTTTTAATATCACAGAAATTTTCCTTGTCAATGTGGAGATTAAATATCCTCAGACGCTGCTTTCCTTCAGGGTAAACTAACGCATCTGTGACACTGTTAGTTTATATTTATTTTTATGTTGCTTTTAAGACAAACACAACAAACATCCAGACTGTGTCTAATGGGGGGAGATATTCAGAATTGCACTGAGTTAATCTAGTTTAATGAAGGACATGAACAGTGGATGAAAAGCCTGTCTGTTAAAATTACTGGCAGTTTAATAAGGGATTAGTACAGTATGTTCTGTAACAGCAGCCATAAAAACACTGTAAATAAGACACTCTCTCGTGTCTCTGTGGTTTCATTGTAAGACTTGGAGAAAATAGCTGTTGAGCCAGTCTCCAGGTATGAATACTGAAATATAATTTCTAAAGGGAAAGGGAACGCTGTTCAAGTACAGCAACACAGCGTAGCTATCACTGCACTTAACACCATCCCTTGATTTCTGCAGCTTCAGCTTAAGATTGTCATTTCGCTATATGCTGACCTTTTTCTGTCTAAGCTCTTGGCCTTCCTGCCAATTGATGGGATACAGTATTACTTCTCAGTCGCTGTGGCCTCAAAGATAGGATCTTCATTTAAAAAGGACCACAGAAGGTGAATGTAGCTCAATTCAGCTCATAACAGCTTGTGAAGAGGCATATACAGTAGGTAGAAGGCTACATAGAGGGTGAGAACTGCACTGCCTTAGGAGAAGACATTCTTTGTACAATTTATTAAATCTGAAGTACATCTACTTGATACGCTTTATACAATAGATGAAGTATATAAATAGTATATGTTTTTTATATAAACTATATATTGTAGCTCACAGAAACTAATTCCAGAATAAAGAATTCATATAAAGGTCTTTGTTGCCTTAAGAAAAAATGTCCAACCATTACTTTAGAAATTAGAAAATAATGTTCCATAACTGACACCAAACACCAGTCAGTTAAGTGAAAGCAGTTGTTTAATTATTTGTTTCGGTCAAGTTTCATTTTGCCCTACTTATATTAATTCATATACCTTTAATCAATTAGACCTTATTAAAACCTTTATTTGACTATAAACGCTATTAAAATGTAAATGGTATTTATTTTGGAAAGGAGACCAAAGGAAATGTTTTGGTTTATTTCAGATGAGGCAATATAATGTGAAATTCAAAGTGTCTGCACAGATTTTGTAAAAAATACAGATACGACTAATCCTGGATCATTTAAACTATCACCTTCCAGTTAGTACATGCAACGTTTTGAATGTTGCTCTAGTTGGAGTTTCTTAATGAACTCTTCAAAGACATTCAATTACTTATTGCTCCTTAGGGAGGAAAAATCACAAGTTCTGTTTCATCAGTGGTCAAGGACAAATCAAATACTCCCGCATGTATGTGGAACACACACAGGCATGAGACTTAAATGAAGTGGTCTTCCATTTCCCCTAGTTCAGACACATTAATAGAACAGTCTTCACAGCTGACTGCCATTCACCAGTAACTTACAACCCACTTAGAACAGTGTAAATATCAAAAGAACCGCATGGTATCTACAGTACTGGATGCATCTGCGCTCTGAATGCGACAAGATTTTATTATACTGTACCAAGGACATTGGAAATGCATTCAAAGATAAAAATTGCAATCATTTGTTTCTGTAAATACCTTTTCAATTTAATTGGCCAAGTGTTAGTCAACAGGATTTACCCCTACAAACTCTTTACCATTGATATATGAATGGAGTGTAAAGGACTAGGATACACCTCCTAAACCTGCACTGTAAAGCCACTCTGTGTTTCATATGCAAACACAGCACTGCTCGAGACCAGTTAGGACAAATGTGAATTAGCTTTGGAATTGCAGTAGAAAGAGAAAAATAAAACAAAGACCTCAAGTCAGTTGAAAAAAGGACTGGAAGCATATTGCACTGTCCTGCAGCCCAGCCTCACAGGCATAAGGCCACTGATAATATTTACTCATGCAGACGGCTCATGAGTCTCTCTAAAGAAATTCTGGTGGCGTTTAGTAAGTTCTGTGCCACCACTGTAGAATCCCACTCATACTCACTGACTTCACATTTCCAAACTTAATCAAAGTGGAAAATCTGCACTTAAGCTAATTAGGAACCTTTGACAGTTCTGCTTTGGTTATAAAAAAAAACAGCCTCTTACAGTTCTGGCAACCTTTCTATGAAATAATGATTTGTACATCCATGGACTTTTTTTTACCCAGGAAATAGATCATAAGACAGTAATAGAAGATGAAAGGTCTTAAGAATCAACTTGAATTAGGTAACGCACACTTGACTTGGATGGTGCAGGAACCAGAAGGCTACTGCTATAAATATTTCACTGTCGTGGGGGAGTGATACTCGCAGCAGGGGAAAGAGGTCTAGATTGAATGCTGAAACTGCAGTTAAACCTAGTCAGGGACGGCACTCTATGATTCTGGTTGTGTGCACCGCTGCTCTTTCAGTTGCATTGTGGGTATGAAAGTGCTACAGCTGCTCTGTGCACCAAAAGCTTAATCATTTCCTAAAAATAACATATGCTGGTATCAAATTCAAGCATTTACAAGAGTCGAGTAGGCTCTTTGGTTCAGTATTATATTCAATATGTTCAAAGGAGAAAATAAACCCCCCCCCCCCCAAGAATTCTTAAC